CCCAGATGTATGAGCCATAAAAAGTGAAATTGGAATCACCTCTTAAATGAACCCTTTCCCCCAACATCCTGCATTGTCCTATTCAAAAATCTATAGCTTCTGATTCAAAGGGAAAAAAAAAGATGTCATAAAAGAGGGCGAACAACAAATAAACAGTTAGGATAGCATAAGACTTAGCATTTGTGACCATAGAGGAGAAGATCTTGGAATATTTCAAAAGAGAAAAAACAATTGGCTTGCATCCAAGAATAATTTATCCATCAATACCAAGAATAATCCTAAAGAACTGTCAGATATTCCTGATAAAAAGATCAGAGCTTTGTAGAAACTTTGAAACCCACGAGAGGAGAGATGTAGATATTCTAGCAATGAATGGTTAAGGGTACAGCATTCAAATAGGGGAAGAAACAAACGTCTCTTCAGAATCCTAATGTCTTCAGGAGGGACAGGTAAATAAAACCAAAAAAACCCCATTTAATTTGGTAAGAATTTAATGTACTGTATAAATGTGGCATGTAAGAAGAAAGGGTATACAAGTGTGTTGAAGGAAAGTGTGGTTGGAATGAACATTTCATGATCTCATTGTTACCTGAACTGATTGAAAAAGAATTGAAATCACCATTCCCACACCTCAGTATAAAGGGAGATCACTTTTATTGGTGGATCTCTAGCATTGAACAGATTTCCTTCTCTTTCTCTACACCTTTCGTCTTTGTAAAGAGAGTGGGTACTGGGGGAAAAGTTATCAGTTTATAAACAAGGGAAATATTAAAACACAGGTTGGAACAAGGGAAGTACTAAATTGAATTGGAGGGGGAAATATCTCCAAATACCTCATCAGCAAAAGAGGGAAAACAGATCAAGGGATTGGGCAGGGAACTGAACAACCAGAAGAAGCCAGCAGGTCAGAATTACCCTAATAAACTACAAAAAGGGATTGGCAATGGTGCGGATGCTCATCAGTTGGGAAATAGTTCAAGAAGTTAATAGCATAAAGATGATATTGAATAGTCTTGCACTGTAATGTGACATTTCTGACAAAACATGTCAGAGAAGCTTTGTGTAGGCAGTCAGTGTGGCGATAGAAGAGGGCCATAATAACTGTCCTTACCAAGGATTAGACTTGTATTGTTTAGGCTAGAGGTCTGAGTCAGTAGCAATGGGGGGAATGTTGCAGAGAGAGAATTTAGTTTTGATTTTGGGAAAAAACTTCCTAAACATGTAGCCCTGTCTAAAAGTGGAATGGGCTGCCCTGAGGAGCAAAAGGTTTCCCTTCTTGGAGATTTCCAAGCAGAGTCTGGCCAACCTCTTGTTGGTTGTGAGTTAAGGGATTCCTTTTGTGTGAGGATTGGAATAGATGGCCTCTGAGATTCCATATCTCCTCCTGTGATTCTGTGACTTGCATGAAGTGAGGCAGCGTGAAGCCTGCAGAACCACAAGAGTTTGTAGAAACTAGGACTGCCGCATCCCAAGGGAAAGCTACTCACAAAGACCTGAGAATGCCCATCAGCCGTGGCTTGGCTGTACTTGTTACAAAGCAAGTCTTCATTGCTCGGGAGGAGAGTAGGATGATGGTGACAGTGCTCCCAGTTAAAAAGCACCAATGGAACCTGGAAAGTATGGAAAAGAGAGCCAAAGGAAGTCTTGAAGGGGATAGAGACATCACGTTTAGCGGTCTATGTTACTGTGTTTTAAATGAGAACAAGCTATGTGCAGTACAGTTTTACATTCTTTTTTTTCTGATCTTTTTGAATAAGGACATTTTCATCAGTGTGAATGGTGTTTGTGATGAAATGTTACTGATTTTCTAAATTGCAGCTCTGTCAAATGTTGTTTTCCTTTCGTCATCTTTGCTAGTCTTGTGGGTATAAAGTGTGTGACCTTAGGGGGATTTTCATTTTTCTTTTTTTCACCCTAATTTGAAGAGCTTTTCTCCTTACAGTTGATAGTTTGCATTTCTTCTCAAACTGACTTCATATTTTTGACCCTTTACTTATTAAGAGCATGGCTCTCATTTGTACATTTTCTTATATTTGTACCCATTTACTATGGGTCTTAGATAGCAGATATTTGCTGCAAAGACTTTTGCCTAGTTATTCTTTTTATAGAATGTATAATTCTACATAATATTTATTTTGTGATATATTGAAACCTAATCTCTGCCAGGTGGCTTTCCAGCTTTCCCTTACTCTGCAGATACTGGATCCTCACCCTAGTCCTTGGTTTTATTAACACTATGTTATTGTTCTTGATTGCTTCTCTATCTGTTCCACTTACTGACAATTCTGTTTCTTTTTTTATTGTTGAGTCTTTTCAGTCATGTCTGACTCTTTGTGACCCCATTTGGGGTTTTCTTGGTAAAGATATTGAAGTGGTTTGCTGTTTTCTTCAACTCATTTTACATGTGGGAAAACTGAGGCAAACAGCTTGTGAGTAATGCTGAATTTGAACTCGGAAAAGATGCCACCAGATCATGTACTTTCTCTGCTGCAGTGCCACCTAGCTGCACATATTTCTTTACCAGTACCAAATCATTTCTAATACAATTTGAGAACTGGTACTAATGCTTTCCTTTCTGCCTTTTCCCATTATTTTCTTTGAGATTCACATATTTTCGGTTAGTCAAGACTGGAGGAACCAAGGGCAAAAGGTATTAGGTGGCTTGCTTCAGGAAGCCATGTGGGCAGTTACAGAAGCCGACTCTTTAGATCTGAGGTCCTTTGTCTAATGGTGACTGATTCGGTGTGTTTTATAATAGACATTGCCATGCCAAGCTCCTTCCATTTCCTCATGGCTAATGTGGAAAGAGAATGTTTGCAGTCATGTTCTCACATGTTCGTTGTGAGAAAAACACATTAAGTGTTTAGCAGCTTCATGTTTGTTGCTTTTAGAATAAAATAGACTTTATTTCTTTTTTTTAATTTTTGGGCAGTTGGGGTTAAGTGACTTGCCCGGGGTCACACAGCTAGTAAGGGTCAAGTTTTTGGTCTGAGGCCACATTTGAACCCAGGTCCTCCTGACTTTAGGGCTGGTGCTCTATCCACTGCACCCCCCTAGCTGCCCCCTAAATAGACTTTATTTTTAAAATATATCACACTTTGGCCCCCATGTGTGCTTTTCCCCTACTTTTCCCTTTGTTCCTCTCAATACAGTCTCTTTTCCAGCCAATCAGGGCTACTTGCTAATTCCAGAACTAGTATAGCATCCCATGTTACTGAAAATTTTCTCTAAGCACCTTCTCTGTTCTTGGTGGTACTTTCTCACTCTGCTTTACTTTTATGTATGTTAATGTCCAGAAAGGCAAGCAACTTGAAGGGAGTGACTGTTCTTACATTCTCTTTTGAATCTACACCAGAGTGTAAATGTAGTTGTACCTTATTTATAATAGGTGCATGTTTTCAGTTTATCAAACAGCAAATGTTTTGGAATCTGTGTTGCTGTAGATAATGGAATTTGTGTGTCTTTGGACCTATATCTGTTTAATTTGGCTATGCTTATGTAGAATTTAGTTCTTGTGGTAGCATGCAAAGCATTGAAAAAGCTATGTGCTTTATTGTTCACAAAACATCTGAAATTTTTTTATGAGTAACCTAGCATTTAAAAAAAAACATGTGGGGATGGAAAGTGAGTTTCCTTTACATGGAAAAAGGGGTAAGGAGGTAAGTGAACTAGCATTTATGTAGCTCCTAGGATGCCAGGTACTGTGCTTTACAAGTAGGCCGCAGCTTGTACACTTACCGCAGGTACGATTTGGTTTGACATTTATCCATGTTGGGTGAAGAGTTATAGTTAGAATGAGAGTTGTAAACTTATGAGTGGATTGCTGTGAAACAAAGACATGGATCTGAAAAACTACTCCATTGGCCCTTTTAGGAAAAGGGAGGAAACTATTCTTCGCCCTTGAATATTTCCAATTTATGTTGGAATAACTTGGCTGGATTATTACTGTTTTCTTTGATTAATACATTGTGTAAGGGGTTAGGTCTGTTCCTGATAATTCTATATGTCATTCATACAGTCATTCTAGAGCAATCTAAAATTTACTGATTCTAATACTACCATGTGGGGTGTACTTTTTGAGTTTTTCCTTAGAGAATTTGCAGATTAGTCACTCGATTTTGTGAGTGAGTATGTGTGTGTGTGTGTGTGTGTGTGTGTGTGTGTAAATAATTTGTCTTCTGTTACATGCCTTTTGGTGTGTTGGCTTTTTACTAGGCCAGGAACTTTTTTAGGCATTTCATCCTTCCTTGCCATTTTACCTGAAGCCTCTTTTTAAATATTCATTCATTATAATTCATCAAATACTTCTATCTACTGTCTTCAAGGCACTGTATTAGGTCGAAAATTAATAAATAGAATGAAATACTTGCTTCCTTCAAGGAGCTTATTATTTTCTTTGTCATGCAGTTTGTATGTAGCTGTTCACAAATGAGGGTTTAGGAGATCACAAAAGGCTTCCAAATAGCAGGTGGCATCTGATAGAAACGTTGAGGAAAGGTAGAGCTAGAAGCATTGAGGAAAGGTAGACATTCTAAAAGCTGGAGGAATGTACGTAAAGATAGAAGGGAGGGAGATAAAATGTCGAGGTTAGGAATTAAACTCCAACCTGCCTGGAACAGAAAGTGAATGAAGGGAAGTAGTATGAAGTCAGTCAGGAAAGATGATCTGGAATCAGATTGTGGGATCTAGAAAGACCTGTCAGCTCTGATGACACCAGCATAAAACCGATGGCCTTTATGGTGGGACACTTGAGTTTTTTCTTTCTAAGCCACTTAGTTGCTAATTGATAGCTGCTGTCATCCTTTCTGATGAATATATTGCTTTAGCGTTTTCTAAATGCTGGAAGTGGTATTTCTTTCTTTTTTTTCTTTTTTGGTATTTAATTTTGTTAGAATATAAAAATCACCTCAAAGAAGTTTCATATTTTTTTGTTGGTACTTTGAGAAGAAAAGCATTTCTTTTATAGAATACATTGTAATAATTCCTTACTATCTTTTCAGACTAACAGGGATGCCAAAAGAAAAATATGATCCCCCAGATCCTCGCAGAATTTACACCATCATGTCAGCAGAGGAGGTAGCCAACGGAAAGAAATCTCACTGGACAGAATTAGAAATCTCTGGTGAGTCAAATCTAAAGGATTAAAAAAGCCCCCAAACATTGGCAATCAAACAAATAAGTATATGTATTATTTCTACACATTCAACAGGGGGGAACTATTCAGTAAAAATTTAATTCTGAAATGCATATATTCGTTTGGAATTGTCAGTCTCCACCTTATAATTAAATATCTTAGCCTGCCACTTTTTGTAGTTGAAGTAAAATACCTGAGCTAGAGCTGGCTATCTGGAATTCTAGGATGCCCAAGTATTGTCTTTTCATAGAACTTTTGAATTCTTTTATTCGATTTTTGTAAGAGAATTACTTGGATTTGTTCCCATTGGATTGGATTGTTCCCAACTATCTCATTCCTCTAGTAACCCATGGTTAATATATATGAAACAGAGAGTTCTCTTACACTATGAAGAATATTTTGTGATTTATGTTTCCAATAATTATTTTGGGTCTTAAGCAGTTCCATGTTTTGACACTGTAGGGTGGTCAACCTTGTTCTCTGTGTTTAGCCTCCACTTTCCTCTTTCATGCATCTTTCCTGTTTTTCCTTTATGTTTCCCCCTCTGCTTTCCACCGCTGTATCATCCAGCTTCAGTTTCCCTTCACTCCCATTAAAATCTACTCTCAGAAAAGGATTAAGACCAAACGTATGATATGACATTTCCACCATCTCCTGCAGTCATTTGCATCTTAACCAGAGATAAAACCTTAAGAAAAATGCCTTCTTAGTTTCCCTGAAATTATAAAAGAAAATCATGACTCACTCAAAATTGCATCAAATCTGCTTTGACCAGAAAAAAGTGCAGACCTGTCACTTTGCTCTGGAAATGAAGAAGTTAGAGTTGAAAAATGTAGTGGATACCCTTTGCCGTGAGGATGGTGTGGTAAAGTAAAGCGGCGTCCTCCGTACTTTACTTGTCATTTGTGTGTCTCACTGCGTGGGTAAATAGGAGAAGACTAGAATGTTCAAGGGGCTCAGAGTGTTGTTAGAGCTGTGCAGCCCACTGTGTCTCTGCAGCCTCACTTCCAAACATCCGCGGTAGTTGTTTGGATATTGTTACGCCTGAAGATTTATTTGTCTTTTAATGCTTTGCTTTTTAGGTAGAGTGCGGAGCCTAAGTCCAGCACTCTGGTCATTAGCACACCTGACAGCTCTGCACCTAAATGACAATCATCTTACTCGCATTCCACCTGATATTGCCAAGCTTCATAATCTGGTTTACTTGGACTTGTCATCCAATAAACTCAGGAGTTTACCAGCAGAACTAGGAAACATGGTGTCTCTCAGGTGAGTAAACATACAGGTACGATCTACTGGCTAAAATTTGGAATTCACAGTGGTGGTGGTGGGGGGGATAATGCATAAGAGAGTAGGGAGGGAAGATGCTGGGGTGTGCTTTGTAGTTAAGTACATCTTTATTGCATAGCCTGAATGCTTTATTGGATCTTATCCAGTATTCCAATTAAATTTTGTTTCCATTGCTTCTTGCTTCTTGGTATACTTTTAAGATTTTCCGAATCTAAAAAAATTCTGCAAGTAATTTTGGTTCTAATGATGTAATATCTAACTCAATCCTGAGTGAAGGCACAAGAACTGAATTACTCATTTTCACTTTTTCAGTCATAAGTTTAGGTGTTTAAAATTTTACATGTTTAAAATGTGAAATACTACCCAGTTTCAGAAAACTGTATTATTACAGTTTAAAATTTTTGTTATTCATAATGATTACTTCATCCCAAATTCTATAATAGGAAGCCATCATTTCATTTTTCTTCAAGATTTTTATTTTGTTGTGTGTAACAGAATTAAGTTGTTTATATATTTTTTTTCTTAAAGGTCACGTAAATATTATTTGTTTCTATTAATAGGGAATTGCTTTTAAATAACAATCTGTTACGGGTTTTGCCTTATGAACTTGGTCGGCTTTTCCAGCTACAGACCTTAGGTTTGAAAGGTGAGTAGTTTCTGTTTTCCTTTTAAATTGTGTGTGTGCACTTGCGGCGCGTCCTGAATGGAAGGTTGATGCTCTCGGGGGTAGGGTTAGCTTTTGGGGGTGAAGTTGAAAATTTGATCAGTTACTCCTCTGGAATAACCCAAACCTGTGGATTGCCCGTAGACTGATGGCTTTATTTCGGGACCATCAATATGTCTCACAGCTTGCTTGGAATTTTTCATATTTTTTTCTAATTTCCTAAAAGGATTATAAAATTTCTGTAGGTGATAATGTTCTAAATCATGTCAAGTTTTTAAAGTTACTCACATAATCTGTGTTTTTTGAAGTAATTGCTTTTGTTTATAAAACTGTAGAACTTCAAAGCTTAACCAAAACAACTATTTTGACAGAGGAGACAAATTGTACTAATTATGTGGTTACAAGGGAGAAAGACATTATGAAGGTAAAGTATATATAGGTTAGGCAGAGTTCCCAAATAGATGAGGCCTTATGCATGATTCACTAAGAACTCTTGAATTATATAAAATGTTTTTCAAAATCAGTTTATCATTAGGTTTCATTAGATTTTTGTATAAATCCTGTCATCTGTTTATTTAAAAAAAAGATTAAATTAAAAATGACTCTGAGAGAACCATTTTTATCTTGCTGTGGAGCTAAATATTTCAAATGTCACTGTGGACAAATAAAATTCAGTGCCTCTGATGATTGACTCTTGATGGGAACATTAGACTTTGACCTGTCCTTGTAAATTTCCTTTTGATTCTAAGTCTATTTTAGTCTCCAAGAGACAGGTCCTATTAACTAATAATGTGAAATGAACAAGAAGGAGAAGCCTTCACAATGAAAGAATAGAGTTATGAACAATAAGGTTTGCAAATGGAGATGATCTCTCATTCATTTTCTAGGAAAAGTGAATAATTACACCAGTGAATGATTTTTGAATTTTGCAGTGCAGCCTGTTTTGGGTTTCTCTGGTTGGTCATTTTGCCATGTGTTTGCAGCTAATATCTCTTTTTAAATGTCAGAATTTTTAAAAGAACATTTTCAGTTTGTGATCTGGTGGTTTTTTTTAAACAAGTTTTTATTGGTATTTTCAGTTTTCCTACATGATCATAGTTATCTCAGTTATCCTCCTGCTTCCCTTAGAGCCCTCCAACATGACAAATACCTTTTAGAGAGGAAAAATCATCAGTACAACTGTTCAATACTTTGAAAAAGTTTGGGGAAAATGTGTAACTTGGGTGGGAATTGAAACGAAAAGGGAAAAATTTTGAGATTCTGTTTATGACCAATTTAATGAAATATTCCCTTTGTTCTTATATGCTGATTATAATGGAAGTGTAATTCAAGCAAATAAAGTTTAGGCAATTGCTATTTGTCATTCTGTAGTTTAAGTTTCTCTTCTTTTCCAAGTCTTTGCAAATCATGTCATTTTGTTCTTGCTCTTTTGTTTTAGGCAATCCTTTATCACAGGATATTCTCAGCTTATACCAGGACCCAGATGGAACCCGAAAGCTCCTGAACTACATGCTTGACAATCTAGCAGGTGACTTCACCCTAGCCTTTTCTGCCTATGCTTGGGTTTTATGAAGATTCAGCTCTGTAGTTCTCTGCTGCGTGTTCCTTTTGCCTTTAAATCAAAGCGTTCCTTAGGGTTCTGTTTTTCAGTTCGTTTCTCATATTTCAATCCAGTCTTTTCTATAACAATATCACTTAGCTTCTGTCTCCCTCTTTGCATTTCAACCTCCTGCCAGGATCTTGCTCTTGAGTCATCAGACTATTTGTCTCTCTAGCTAGATGTCCTTTTGGTATACAAGGCCATATTCAACTTAGTGGCATGATGGAGTGGATGAGTGCTGGATTCACAGTTATGAACACTTGGGTTCAAATCCTGTTTGTTTGTTTTTTTCCTTCTGGGGGGGCGGCGGCGGCTAGGCAGTGGGGTTAAGTGACTTGCCCAGGTCACACACCTAGTAAGTGTTATGTATCTGAGGCTGGATTTGAACTCGGGTCCTCCTGAATCCAGGGTCGGTGGTCTATCCACTGTGCCACCTAGCTGCCCTCAAATCCTGTTTCTTATCCTTACTGACTGTGCAGCTCTTGGCAAGTCACTTGGCCTCCATATTTTATTTATACCTGCCTTCAGACTGTGCACCTGTGATAACTTGATCTTTTCAAGTTCTTCTGACATCCCTAGTGCTATGGCACCAGTATTCTCTTATTCGTACATGGAAGGCAAGGCTATAATAACTTATTAAGCACTTAGTGTGTGCTCGGTATGGTGCTAAGCACCTAGGCTATTAATATAAGTGTTTTTTACATTTTGTCACAGTACTAGGCAAAAGGAAAATGGAGTTAGGGGTACAACACTCAAACGAAAAATCAGTGACAAAAAAGATAGGCACCTAAATGAAGCAGCAGGCAGTTTTATGCATGTTAAATGGTATATAAATAAATATAAATACAGAAATATGGATATACATGGGAAAAAAAGGCTTACCTATAGTAGGATGCAGACTCTTATAAGTGAGGTAGTATGTATGTGAATACAAAAGAGTTATATTTGGAGCATATGAAATTGGGAGTATAAAGTGATTTTGGTTGGTGATGGATTTGATTTGAGTAGAGACTATATATATATATATATATACACACACACACACACACACACACACACACACACACACACACACACACACACACACACACACACACACATATATACATATATACACACACACACACATGTACACACAACACACACACACACACACACACACACATATATTTTTTAAAGGCAGTTGGGTTTAAGTGAATTGCCCAGGGTCACTAAGTAGTGGGGTTAAGTTTCAAGTGTTTGGTCTGAGGCCAAATTTGAACTCAGGTCCTCTTGACTTCAGGGATGGTGCTCTATCTATTGCGCCACCTGGTTGTCCTGATTGAGTAGAATAGTAAGCCAGAGAATTGGCAATATATGAACCTGTAGAAATAAAATACATTTGTGTGCCCTGTGTATTGATATGGCCAGCACTGGGCAAGAACCAATGGTTTTTCCCATGCTTTACATATTGCTACTTATTTATATCTGTGTTTGTGTTGTTTCCTCTGTGTGTGTGTGTGTGTGTGTGTGTGTGTACGCACGTGCGCGCGCCAAGGAGCTTCTTGATTTTTAAGTTAGTGTTGGTGAAATTGGATATTGGTGACCTTGTTGATAGCAAGTTTTGTTGTTGTTTAGTCATTCTTCAGTCCTGTCCGACTGACCCTTCATGACCCCATTTGGGGATTTCTTGGCGAGGATACTGGAGTGGTTTGTCATTTCTTTCTCTAGCTCATTGTACAGATGCAGAACTGAGATAAACAGGGTTGTAACTTGCTCAGGGTCGCATAGCTGTCTGAGGGCTGGTTTTGAACCCAGGCCTTCCTGCCTCCAGCCCTGGCACTGTATCCACTGAAGCACCTAGCTGTCCCCAATGGTAGATGAGATTGCTGTCATTGAGAGCCCATGCCAAGGCTGCCAAAGTGTTGTCGTCTAGGTCCTTAGCAGGTACCTTCATTTTGGAAGAATTAATTGCTGAACCACTGTCTTTTGTTTCAGTACCTTAATTTTTGAATATATATATATTTCTTTCCCCTCTCAGAGCTATTCTGTGAACCAGGTATCTCTTGTATCAGGGAGATAGAAAAAACTCAGTTTAGCAAAACTAAGGAGTGTGTCCTCCATGACTGATGCTATATGTAGTATTCTATGCCCATCGTCCCTGACTTTGGAATCCTTTCTCCCCCATTTATGTTGTATTACTTTTGTATAATCCTGCTGGTTCTTTTTTCACTCTGAATTAGTTCATATATGTCCAGCTGTATTCCTGAATTATTCATGTTCATAACTTATTATGGTCCAGCGAAAGAGTATGTGGTATTAGAACAGAGAAACTAGGATCATGGACTGAAACTACTACGGTTAAATCAGTAGGAATAAATACAAAGTTTTGTAGTTGGGTTAAAAAAATTGACCTCACCAATATAAGGAGAGTGAAGCATTGGAGGTGGAATTTTAATGTAGGTCTTAATACAGCTTCCTATGGTAGTGGGCTCCCTCTCACTGACAGTCTTCAAGCAGCATGTGCATAACGACACATCTGGCATGTTGTAGTGTGGAGTCGTGTTCAGGTCTGGGGGTGGCCAGTGGTCCTGTCTCAGGTTCCTCTGAACTTCTTTAATCCTAAACTTTTCTTCTGGAGTGTGGCTTTTTGGAAACAGTCCTTTACTGGAGTGTTGGCTTTTTGTGAAAGGCTGTCTTTCAGCTTTTTTTTCAAATCTTTTATTCAGGAAATCGAACAGATACTATGTCCTCACTCTGTTCAGAGCACTGTAATAGATAGGGGGAAGATAAGTAACTTTTTATTAATTCTTAAAACTAGTTTCCTGAATTTCCCTTGTTATAAATCTTATTTCATTACAAGTCGTAAGGGCAAATGTACTTACTGGTGGAGTGCGATATGTGCTTTATTGTATGAAGTTATTTTCATTGATGCCTCAAGCTCGAGTGGGAAGAAAATGAGGATTTTTTTGAATCTTTAAATGTTAGAAGGAATATAAGGAAGTAATTTTATTTACAATTTAAGGCCCGAATTAAAAAGAGAGCATCCTTAGTATGTTAAAAGTGAATGGAAAAAAGTTAGGATTTTTGGCTTGCAGCTGGTCAATTCAGTGAAGACATTCAATTTAATGAATAGCTATTGACCTATCACAGGGACATGTCCTACCTTAAATTTGCCTCTGTTTTTATTGAATTTTGACACTTAAATCTTAAAATTACCCTCTATTCTATGGCAGCTGTGTTCGGGCAGGAAATGAGAATCAATTTGATCATATATCTGTAATTTGTATTAAAGTATATGATCTTAAATATACATATATCCACTTATCTTTCAGTTCATCCAGAGCAGCTTCCTCCAAGGCCATGGATTACACTAAAAGAACGAGACCAAATTCTGCCCTCAGGTAAAGATTGTCTAGTCTCTCCTCACCTTCTAAAAACGTGTGAAATTCTGTACGGTCTTTGTGATTCATAGTTAATAGCATGCTTTTCACCAGTCACATTACAACTTCACTAACTATGCTTTTCATAACTGGGCTACTCAGGGATTCCTTTTTGGCGAGGCAGTTTGAGTTAAGTGACTTGTGCCAGGATCACACTGCTAGTAAGTGTCAAGTGTCTGAAGGTGGATTTGAACTCAGGTCCTCCTGACCCCAAGGCTTGCAGCACTGTCTACTGTGCTACCTAGCTGCCCCTGCTCAGGGCTTCTTAAAAAGAAAATTCTATCTTGCTTTATACAGTGTTGCCTTTATAATGAGTACCTGCTTAGATAACCAGTGCAGGAACAGTGTCAATAAGATAAATAATAGAGATTGTACTGGTTTTTTGAAAAGTTTAATGGATGAGTTTTTAAGTATTAGGGTAGCTAGGTGGATCTGGGTTCAGACCCCACCTCAGACACTTATTAGCTATGTGATCCTGCCCGAGTCACTTAACTCTGTTTGCCTCAGTTTCCTCATCTGTAAAATGAGCTAGAGAAGGAAATGACAAACCGTTCCAGTATCTCTGCCAAGAAAACCCTAAATGGGATCCCATACCTTTGCCAAGAATACCCTAAAAGAGGTCATGGAGATTCAGACAAGACTGAAAAACAGCTAAAGAATTTTTCAGTGTTCTTTCCAAAATATGAACTGGTAGTGTGATTGTGAGCTAATGGTTTGGCAATAAAGCATGATGTGTAGCTGCCTAAGCAACTTGAGGTCATGTTTTAATTTTTCTGTTCCTTGGGGTATTTTTGAGAGCATTGTAATATTCCTGACGACCACTTATCCTAGAGGCTAGCACTGAGTTGATATTGTGCTGCTTGTAATTAATTACCGTTTTAAAGAAAACCTTTAATAAAATATTTCTCCAACGTTTCAGATGATTGGGATGTGATTTTTTTGGTCTTGATAAGTACTTATCAAACATCTAATGCTAGTATTTCAATAAGTTATCTGTGCGGTGTAGAGGACAGAGACTGGAATTTGGTGTCAGGAAGAGCTGAAATCATTCTTCCCCAGGCACTTGTTGTCTGTGTGACCTTGGAGAAGTCAACTTTTCCTAGCCCTAAATTCCTCATCTACAAAATTGGGATAGCAATATAACACCTGTTTCTCAGGCTTTTTTTGAAGATCAAATGAGCAAGGATTTGCATTTTAATCTTATATAAAAATTAGGTAGTATTAGTTTTATATGTAGTTATTATGAAACCTTTTGTTATCAAAAGTTGAGTTTGTGTTTAAGAGTGAGAAGAGTTTTCAAAAATGAGTAATTTTACCTTGGGAGTTGGAGGTAGTAGGTGCTCTGAAGGTGGAAATTTAATCATTTGTTTACCCTTTTGCTAATGTCAGAAATGTTTTGCTTCTTCTAAAAAACATAGCTGTGCCGGAACTCTGGTAATAGCATGGATTTGCATTGTACGGTATTGTTAAAATTGTTTATCAGTGGGATTGTGTCAGTGTTTCCATTAATAAGCCCTGTATTCTGGAGAGGGCAGTTCCCAAAAATGCAGGTGCAGCAATGATCTGGACCAAATAGAGGTTCTAATGGTTTCCTAAAAAGCACTTATGTATTCTGAATTCAGTGTATTTAACTTTTTATAGAATCTACTTCCTTCCTATTTTTTTTTAAACATTGGAGGGAAGCTTTTCTATTTTAAGCAGTTCTTTTCTGAGGTGTTAGAATAATGTGCATTGCAGGTTTCTTGGCCTTTGGAGATCTTGAGCTCATTAATATGAGAACAGGAACAACAATACTTGTTGATTTCAGAAATGTTTTTGATATTTCCTGTGGAAGTGCTTGTGATATTTTTTTTTCTTATCTGTGGTCATGTTCCTTAGTTGGATATGGAAGTTTTTGATAAATTCTTTTTCTCCAAATGTGAAGTTTATTGACACTTGAGATAGGTAAAGATTGCTGTTTGTTCATAGTTCCCTTTTTGTTGTACAATACTGATTTTTCTAAAAGAAAAATTATTTTTTAACAGTTACAGATAAAGTCTAAGTCATTATGTGTAAGCATGAAGTAGAGCTAAAAGCCAACTGACCTTTTTGAGGGATAAAATCCATCATAGTAAAATGAGAGATATGGTCATTTAAGAATTCTCCAGTCAGGAAGATACAGGTGTGTGCAAGGTAGTAATCTAGCTAGATTTGAACTTGAATCAAGAGCAGTGAAGTATTTGGTTGTCTGAGTTGGCATTGAGACATTTCAGTGATTTGGAGCTATAAACACACTACATTTGGGGAAGGTGCAGGTATCCACAGGGAACCAAGGCAGCTTTAGGATTAACCTAAGCCAACAGCTGATGCCTTTCCCACTTTCATCTTGGACCACCACAGCCTCCAGGCCTAGAGTGGGGAAGACAGAGAGGTATTGTATTTGCCTAACTCCAGTGATTATAAAGTAAATTTTTGATTTTTAGCTTAATAGGTTTGGCTATAGGCCTTTTACTTTTCACAGAAGTGGGAGTTTAATTTAAGAACTAGTCTCAGGAAATCAGTCTTAAGATTAGAGTTCATGTGTCAGTTTATATCCTGATTTCAGACCTCTAAAAACTAAGGTTTGTGGACTTATTCTTTAGTGTATTCTGTTGAAAAGGGAGGGGGGAGGATAACTGACTTTTGGATGAGAAAAAGGCTTACCTATTTCTGCGAAATTCATGCTTAAATTTACATGGCAAAATTTTGATAAGCAAATAAGTCATAGAAATATTATTTTATGGGTAATATTTAAACCACTTAAGTTTACATACATTCTGCCAAAAATAAAATGTGTACGTTTTACTTAAACTTCTGTAGGCTGAGCTTTGTTAGTCTAGTTCTAGGCTAGTAGTGAAAAAGGAAAATTTCTTTAACAAGCTTCTATAATTCAGAGTTTTTACAAAATCAGTGTCCCATTAGTTAGCATAGTTAGGTTTTTAGTGTTTTTTAGCTAAGAGAAAATCTTGTTCTGGGTATTTCTCAGTTAACAATGCAATTATTGGTTTTTCCTTGGGAAATGAAGTCTTGTACGTATATGTATGTGCTTAGTGTATGTACGTATATGTGCATCTATATTATATTTCTTCATAAGCAAGCTGCCTAATTTTCTCCTTTTTGTCCCTTGTTTTTTCTCCTCTTTCTCCCTAGCATCATTCACGGTTATGTGCTATAATGTGCTATGTGATAAGTACGCCACCCGGCAGCTTTATGGCTACTGCCCGTCCTGGGCGTTAAACTGGGAGTACAGGAAAAAGGGAATTATGGAAGAGATTGTTAACTGGGATGCAGATATCATTAGTCTTCAGGTAACACTAGTAATTACACTGTCTTTCACTTAAAGACAAACTGGTTAAAAAAAATTAGCAAAACTTCAGAACAAGTACTTTATAGCTAAAAGAAAACCATACAATAAAGGACTTTTTTTCTTTTAACTGAAAAGCAAACATTTTCATACTAATGCAAAATTTGACAGGTCCCAGGTAGACTTTTTGGCTTTTCTCGATTGTTTTTTTCATTCTGAGGCTAACTCATTTATCATAAAGTTGCTTAAGCAGTTAAGTTGAGGAACAAATTATTGATGACTTTGGCAAGACAGAAAATTATGAAATAATTTGTTAATATGAATATGAATAATTAGGAAATAATGCTTCCTTTCACGCAAGCTCATGTCATCAAGTGGCACTTGTAGGGAAAGTGGAGTTTCTCTGCAGTTGTTCTCTATTGCTTATGCTCTCCCTTACTCCTTAATGCTTTTTCAGCTGAGGTTTAGAATCCCCCTTGTTTGGCCATACTTTGCTAAAGCAAATTTAATTAAATTGAAATAAAACTACATTGTGCAGTGGCCTCTCTTTTGCTTGCTTATTTCTCAATACTTGATAGTTATATAGTTATTTGTAGGCAGTTTCTTTTCTTCTTGCTCAGGTTTTACCAATAATTAAAATATGTTAAGGTTTTGAAGATATTTTAAAAATAGTCTGTCTGCAGCCATGAATTCCTATGTAAGTACTCATAAGGTAGGCCAGAAATACTGTACTTTAAGTTTTGGAGGAGAAAGGTAATTTAAAATTGCCATAGTATTTCTTTTTTCTTTCATATTTTTCTTTTGATTCTTCCCCACTATTGATGTGTATACCTAGGACACAACAGGTACCACTGGATGAAATGCTGCTTTGAAAGACAGAAGCAGGGAAAAGCAGTGTAAACCATAGTTAAATGATCAGTTTTCCAGTAACAGAAGAATCAGTCTTAGAAACTCATTGATTTAAATGAGCATATAATTAGTAGAGGTGATTTCTGATGTGTATTGCCTGTAAATAAATCCTTCCCCCTTTTTTTCCGAGCCATTTTATTTTCTAGAGGAAAACATCTGTTCTGTAGATGTCTGGGTTATTTTTAAAAACTTTCATTTAGTAAGATGCAGCTTGGGCAGGGCCTGGAGTCAGGGTATGAGAGGGCAGCATGTGTCTAGAGCCTGGTGACAGCAAGACCTGAGCTAAAATCCAATCTTAGTTACTTGCTGTGTGACCTTCAGCAAGTCATTTGGTCTCCTTGTTTCTTAGTTTCCTCATGCATTAAATTTTCCCCTGTCAGTGTGTGAGATTGGAAAATGAGAAATACTTATTCATGATTTAAAATTTTTTTACCAAATTTACCTTGACCTGAAAGCATGTTATTCGTTAAACACCTTCTTTGTAATATACTTATTTTTATTTTTTAATGGCCATTTTTGAATGTACCTAAGATTTTAGTTGGTAAAAATATAGTGGTTGGTATGGGGGCCCTTTTTTTGGGGGGAGGTTAATTGACTTGCCCAGGAGCTCACCACTAGTAAGTGTCAAGTGTCTGGTCTGAGACCACATTTGAACTCAGGTCCTCCTGACTTCAGGGCTGGTGCCACCTAGCTGCATCTGAGACCCTTTTTAAAAATTTGAAATTCACCCTTCCTCATCTCATGATCCTGAGCTCTCTGATATTCCTGTTAAACTTTCCTGTGTCTTGTAGATGATGACTCTTCTCTTTTGTTAGGAAGTGGAAACAGAGCAATACTTCACCCTCTTTCTGCCAGCATTAAAGGAGCGTGGATATGATGGATTTTTTTCTCCAAAGTCACGTGCCAAAATCATGTCTGAGCAGGAGAGAAAACATGTGGATGGTTGTGCAATATTCTTCAAAACAGAAAAGTGAGTAAAGGGAATAAACCATAGTGCCACAGACAAAGTTTCTTACTTCTCATATATTTGAAATTCTAAGGGTAATAGAGAAGGCTGTTAAGTGAGTTAAGCTCAGTAGGCCACCTGGGGTTCTTGTGTGGCTGTCCTGCCTGCCCCAGTGGTCAGCAGTTTCATGTTGGGGATATTGGTCCTGTCTTCACAGGGTTTGTTACCATGGATGATGGCAGCAAGGCTGGACGATGCTGTTCTCAGAGTTCTGGAGTGCAGTGTCTTTGGCTGTATCCGTTGTAGTTTGAGGGGACGTCCTAGTTAAGGTTGTGATGGTGGTTATGGAAAGTAAATATTTTCCAGCATACAGAGAATTTGAGCTTTGTATTTGAGCTGGTAGCAGTCTTTTTGAGAAAACATAACAGGATATATATAGCCAAAAGCAAGAGTATTGTATATTAAAAACCATACATCCTTACATTTGTATAAGATGTTCATAATGATTCTGTGGAGTTGGTAGTATATTATTGCCCCATTTTATTATGAAGAAACTAAAGCTCAGAATTGCAATGACATACCATTCCTTCTGCAAGTAGAAAGTTGGAGATCCCTGGGAGTATCCCAATCACCTCTCCGCTGATTAGCAGTCTTCCTGCAATAACAGTCTCTCAATACAGGCACCTTCCCTCAAGTTAAGAAATATGTTTGCCGTTTGTGATAAGACAGATTTAGGCTGTGCCTCCTTCTACATGATAAGGAAAGGCTTGTAAATAGACTGGAGGCTTGGAGGGGAGAGGAAAGAAGAGTCCAAATGGGCTTTTAAGGCCCAATCACATTAGGGTCTCTAAACTCTTTTGGGTACTTTTCCCAACCAACCTTATTTAAATATCCTTGCCAATATTTTTCTGAAGCAAACTATGCTATTAACGATGGCTGCTTCATTTGGACTGAGCCATTTCACACGTTGTTATACTTTACTGTTGTGCTATCTTCTGTCTGTTAATGTCCCGCTTGATTTTCACTTTTTAAAGCCTTGCAGTAGGGATTCTTAATTTGATATCTATGATCTTAACTTTTGTTTTTATTTTACTCTATTTAAGTGTTATCTGTTTAGTTTGTTTCATTTTTAATCCTCTGTTTTATATATTTAAAACATTTGGAGAGTTGTTCATAGACTTCAGCACGTGGCATGAAAAAGACTAACAGTCCCTTCTTTGGAGACTTATGCATATGTCACCACTCACTCCTTGTGTTCACTCTCTTGACAGCTCTTCTGCTTCCCTAATAGCTCACATTTCTTTACACCTAGATTCATTTCTGTTAAAGTATTTGTGTGCTGTTTGGCTTCTCTTCTGAATTAAGTTTCCTTACCATGGAAGGACAGAGACTTCTCTTTTGTTCTCTTGAATAGCACTCTACACACCATAGGCCTTTAAGCGAATGTTGAATGGAATCTAATTGGACCTTCTTTGAAGGCCATCCTGAATAAATAGCCACTGTCAGTAGACCTTGAATAGAGAAGAAATAGCAGAAAATCCTCAAGCTCATGATTAGAAACATGTGTTGGTATTCAGTGAGCTTAGTGGCCACTGAAAAAAATGTAACTTGTCATTGCCATTTTTATCTTTACTTCAGACCCTGGTGTAGCTTTGTTCTTCTCATCTGCGTAGTGTAGTAGAAAGAGCCCTGGATTTGAAGCTTTGGATTCTGACTCTGTCTACCTATATGAGTTTGAGCAAATCATTTACCCTCTGGGTCCCAGTTTCCTCATTGGTTACGTCACAGGGTTGTACTAAATGGTCTCTTAAGTATCTTACAGCTTTAAATCTTACTGTCCTATAATTTCCTCAGGCAAACTTCTCTCATCTCCCCATGGCCCTGCCCCATCCCCTTCAACCAACCCACAAAAAAGTCTACTAATCTAGTGAGGTCATTTTAAAAATTTGTGATCTTTACTCTTACCTCTGTTTTGAAGAGGATTATTGCCTACTCTGTGGGAAGCAGTGTACTGAGAACTTAGCACTTTTATAACCTGTATCTCTTTTTGATCTTCACCACAACCCTGGGAGGTAGGCTATTCTCTCTGTTGTACAGGTTAGGAAACTAAGGCAGTCAGAGGTGAAGTGATGTGACCAGCTTCAAACAGTTAGTGCCTATCTGAGGTTTTCCTGACTCTAGGCTCAGTGTTCTATCTCATAAGCAATTGAATTGTTATGGAATTTATCCATTACCTGATGAGTCAGTTCCAGTGTCCTCATGATTTCCCATCCCCTCTTTTACAATAAGCCCTCTGTTATGGGTGAGGGAGGGGGGAAGGTATACATGACATCTCTCTTCTAAGGGAAGGGGGCTTCACTGGTAAATGTGACACATCTCTCAAAGGGAGACTGCAGTATCAGTCAAGCCTTGGCTCTGATAAAGCAGTAGCCCACCTCCCTTTAGAAATGTGAACCTATCAGGATTTGTCTTCTCTTACTAGGAAAATTCCGATGAGGAGAGAGCTCAGGGCCATGGCTCATAGAATGCCTATACCTTGTATATTTCATTTTCCTGAGCTTGCCTGATTCAATAGGGCAAAGCCCTAACCAAGTTTGTTTTTTTTTTAACAGAGCCAACTTTGTAGAATTGACAGTACTTTCCAAATGATTCTATGTGGTGAAAGGGAGGATGAAAAGTCAAGACTCTTAAGATAGTGAAGTAGTATTACTGGGAGAATGGTGCTGCCCCTTTCCAGCCAGTGGAACGTTGAGAAGGCACGGGTGGGTTTTGGAAAGAAAGACTTGTCAGTTCTAATTTGGACATGTTAAGTTTGAGATCTGTTTGCTGTATAATTCATCAGTCCAGATCCAGATAAGGGGGTGATTGTTATTGAGATAACACAAAATTATAGTATCAATAGCATTTTTCCTCTCCTGACTTCTAGTGAAAACTGTTTGCTAAAAGAAGAGTATCTATTAAATTCTTGACTCGTCTTTCTGATAATTTCACATTTCAGAAAGTTAAGGAAATTCCTATTCTGGAATCAGTTTTGTCCAATAAAGAAGAACTGGTCAGTTAAGTAAAAGGGAGTTTTTGGGCAGGTAATGATCATTGGCTTGGATTTTGTGTAGTGAGGGAAGAGAATATGCATCCAAACAGAAGAACTACTTTTAGCTTAGAAGTAGATTTTGCAAAATAAATTCAGACCAAAATTAGACCCAGTGTCATTTTTAAGGACTCTGAAAGGCATAAGATTTAAGGGGGATCAGAAATGACGTTCTGAGTATATAATATGAAATGTTAATCAGTTAGCAAGAATTGAAACACCCACTATGTGCTTAGTTCTGGTGTTAATTGTTATAGAAACACTTTCTCGAGAGGCTTATGAGAAAAGAATCTCTCCTTCTCCCCCTTTCTGCCAAGCATGATGATGTCATAGTCTTGGTAAACCTCGGTTAGCCTTGGAGAGTACATTTGTGGGATACATGGCATTAAATCATTTGTAGACAACCTGTTGGTTTCATTATATATCAGAATAGCCTCTCTATTTGGGTAAAAAATACTAGAAAACATTTTAAAAAGATTTAAAGAAACTAATGTGCCTACCTAAGCGATATTTTTTATTTCAACTTTGGAAAAGGGCATTTACAGAAAATTAATGGAGAGAGAATATTTGTGGTTTAGTCATTTCAGTCATGTCCCAATTTGGGGTTTTCTTGGCAAAGATACTAGAGTGGTTTGCCATTTCCTTCTCCAGCTCATTTTTACAGATAAAGAGCTGAGGCAAATGAGATTAAATGACTTCTCCAGGGTCATACAGCTAGTAAGTGCCTAAAACTGGATTTGGACTCAGGACTTCCTTACTCCTGGCCTGGCAGTCTATCCACTGTGCTCCCTCGCTGTTCCCAGAAGGAATAGAACTAGTAGTAAACATAGTGGAAAGAATCCCCTTCAAGGATGCCAAGAAGGTCAAAAAATGCCCAGATTGGTGTAACCTCTTGAAAAAGAAAAATACGAAGGACTACCAAACCACTAAAAATGTTTAAAAAGCCATGTTTGGGAGCAGTGGAAGCAGCAGAATGTAAGCTCCTTATTGAAATGTTGTCCGTTTCTCTCCAGTGCCTAACATCGTGCCTCAGATACAGAAAATGTCTAATTGATTGTTGCAGAAATAATCTGTTAAGACAGATGGTGAAATATCAACAGACAACAGGTAGAGAGGAGTCTCAGCCAGCTCTTGGTTTGCTTCTGTCTTGTATCGAAAGGAATGATGTTCATACTAGTGAGGGACAGTCCCCCAGAAGTGTGAGGGATTCAGCCCTTTGTGTCTCTGGGCTTGAAGGAATTGTCATTCAGTGGTACTGAAATATTAAGACCCTCCCACGCGTAGGATAGAATGACAAGCAGCATGGGTACAAATAAGAAATTGTCTATAGTCCACAGGCACTGCTTTTTTAAAAAATTAATTTATTTTGATTTATCAACAATCACTTCCATATGCTTTTGAGTTTAAAATTTTTCTCCCCTTCCTCCCCACCAAGATGGTGCACAATCTGATATAGGCTATACATATACATTCCTATTAAACATATTTTCACATTAGTGAAGTTGTAAGTAAAAATTAAAACCAATAGGAGGAACCATCAGAAAGATGAAACAAAACTCAACAGAAGGTAAAAATAAGTGAGAGCGATTCGACTTCCATAGTTCTTTCTTTGGATGTGGACAGCCTTTTCCATTCCGAGGCCTTTGGAGATGTCCTAGATCCTTGTAATGCTGAGAAGGGTTCAGTTTAACATTCTTAGTCATTGCATAATGTGTGTACAAAGTCCTCTTGGTTCTGCTCACTTCACTCAGCATCAGACCATATAAGTCTTTCCAGGTTTTTCTGAAGTCCGCCTGGTCATCATTTCTTATAGCACAATAGTATTCCATTACATTCATATACCACGGCTCGTTCAGCCATTCCCCAATTGATGGGCAGCCTTCAATTTCCAGTTCTTTGCCACCAGAAAAAGAGCTGCTATAAATATTTTTGTACATGTGGGTCCTTTTCCCATTTGTATGATCTCTTTGGGATATAGCCCTAGAAGTGCTATTGCACAGTCCCTACTCTTAAAGAGCTTATTCGTGGAAAGGAGCTGACATACACCCATGAAACCACCTTATAAATTAGGTAGAAATGAAAATGAGAGGGTCATATGAACAGTGGTGTAAAAATCTGAGGAGGCAAAGATCAACTCCAGATTTGGGATTAGGGAGTATTTATTGAAGAAAGGGAATAATTCATCATGGATAGAAAGTGGGATGGGAGGTAGGGTTAAAAAACCATTCCAGACAAGAAGAATTGTGGGAGAAAAGGAATGGATATGGGCAAGGGTTTACTGAGAAACAGTTTATATCAAACACGTATAAAGAATGTTGTCAAATCTGTGAGAATATGAGTTGTTCCCTGATTGATAAATGGTCAAAGGATATAAGCAGGCAGTTTTCCAAAGAAGAAATCAAAAAAATTTATAATCATATAAGATTGGTAAAAGATTTGTAGTTTCCCCATTACATTGTAAAAAAAAAAAACAAACAACAGCAATAATTGATAAAACCGTTAGACAAAAACAGTCTTTGAAAGAAAGCTGGAAAGAACATAGTTTAGGTCATACTGTTGAAGGCCTTGAATGACAAATTAAAGAGCGTTAGAGAACTACCAAAGGTTTTTGAATAGACGAAATGGAGTCCCACAGTCGTTTATTGGTATACTTACATAGGCAGTAGCATGAAGGGTAGCTGGGAGGGGAGACTGGAATCAAAAAACCATGATTTTAAAAGAAAATCTATGTATTTCAAGAATTCACAAATGAGAGGATATTGGAAGATGGCGGAATAGGTCTGAAAACTTTCTTTTCTCCAAATTTCCTCCACAAAAGACAGAACGTTGTCTCAGAGCAGCAGAAATAAACGCTGGGTAAAGCAGTTGTCCTCTTGAGACAATTTGAGAAGACCTCAGGAAAGACCCATTGAAGTTCGCCTTGAGTGAAGTGCAAACACCTCTAGGCCTACTCTGCAGAGTCAATAAGCCCTGGGGGCAGCTGGGTTGAGAAGGTATCCTCAGCCTTAGAAACTTTCATCTCGAAGTCAGTGTGTTTAGGCAGGGTGGGGGTCTGACTGCTGAGTAGGAAAAGATGGAAGGAAGGACCTTCCACTGTTGAGGGATGCCAAGCACAGCTGTGCTGACCAGATGTGTATGTGAGAGGGAGCTAGCACACATCTGAGTGCAGTAGTGAAGGGCAGGGACCCTGTTGGCTGTGGGCCCTTGGAGATCAGAGTCCCTGGTTTCAGTTCTGTGGCAGAGAGGATGGCTGTAGTTTGCAGGGAGCCAATATAATTTCTGGGACAGTGAGCCTGGGGGCCCAAGATTGGACTGGAGACAGACCCCAGAAGATAACAGCAAGAAGGACCACAGGCTTGGGGCATCATTTCCCATACTTTGGGCCAGCAACTTGATTAACTAAAAGCTGCTAAACCAAATTGAATGAATGAAAGAATGAATAAATATGAGTAATCAAAGGAGAAAGACCCCAACCATAGATAGTTACCTAGGGGAATAGAGAAGATCTGGGTTCATATTCAGAGGAAGATAATGGAGCTAAAAAGGCCACTCCTTTTTCAGTGAGAAATGTCAAATGGTCCGAAGCACAAAAAGAGTTCTTAGAAGAACTTAAAAAGGACTTTAAAATTCAAATAAGGGAGATTGAGGAAAAATAAGGAAAAAATAAGAGCAATCCAAGAAAGTCAACCAACTGGAAATAGAGTATCAAACTTAAGGAAGAAAATAGTTCCTTGAAAACGAGAATTGGGCAAGGCGAAGCTAATGATGTTCTAAGACACCAGGAAATCATAAAACAAAATCAAAAGAATGAAAAAATAGATGAGAAAGTGAAACATCTCATAAGAGAAACAACTGATCTGGGGAGCAGTTTGAGGAGAAATAATATAAGAATAGCCAGACCACCTGAAAATTATGATTAAAAAATCCTACATTCCAGAAAACCTAAGTATTGGGTTAAGTATTCTGCCTTGCTTTAGCTAGGTGGAGGCAAGAATTCTTTTAAAAGGGAAAGTCTGTGTTGACAGTTGGCTTAGAGATACCATTCAGAAGACCATCCCTGTACATAAGTGGCAGATGCTGTTCCTGTTTTATATGTGCTGCGGCTCCTCACCCAGCACTCTGCCCCGTTCTTCTTTGTGCACATATATTATGTATCATCCCCAGAAGTGAACACTGTGATTATACGTTTTCAAGAAACCCCGTTATATTTGTTGTATAGAGGAGTACTGATGACCCAGATGGCTTGGCATGGTGTTTCAGACTTGCCACAAGCAGGTTTCTGTAGGGAAGGAAAACGGAGAAATTTGCATTCAATGAGGCAGTTAATGAACATAAACATTTTCCCCTCCTAGGGCACCCTCTGTCCCAGATGTTCTGGGACCCCTTTGGAAGTCTGGTGATGCCTGTGGACCTTATCTTAAAATAATGTTTTTAAATGCATGTGATAAGATACATGGTCTTCCAAAGGAAACCAATTGTATTGCAATTTAGTCAACAAAAGTAACCCTTCGTTGAGATTCTGTTCTGTCCCTTAAGCACTTTTCTCTGGAGTGGCTGTGAGACTTGGCTAGTTATTGTGCCCCTTGAGCCCAGGTCATCTCAACGCCTTTCAAATGCAATTGTGTCTTTCAGATTTACGTTGGTGCAGAAACACACGGTGGAATTTAACCAGGTGGCCATGGCAAATTCCGATGGATCAGAAGCCATGCTGAACAGAGTCATGACGAAGGATAACATTGGTGTGGCTGTGGTTTTAGAGGTCCACAAAGAATTGTTTGGAGCAGGTAAGTACCCCTAGGGTTACTGGACTTCAGGGGACATCACAACTAATTTGTTCATTAAGTTAAATGTCATTTTGCTGATTAAATGTCTGGTGAGAATAAAATGTTACTTTTTATGAAGGAATAGAAGACTGGCTAACAAGTCTGTGTGGTGGAGAGGTCCTGCAATATGTCCTTCTAAAAGAGCCCTTGAAAACAGGAAATGTATTGATCAGACTGAATTCAGAAAACAATGAGCATTACTTTTTCTGACTTCATTAGCTTAGGTTTTTAAGTTTAACCCCATATATTCAGCTATCTTTTTTGGTGAGTCACTGCTTAGTCCTTCTGAACCTACAACTGGTTGCTTTACTCTTCCTTCCTGCTACCTACCTTTGTGCACTTTTTCACTTTTAGCAATCATTGGGAAAAGTTGGGCAGGAGCAGAGAAAAGAGATGATTTATGTCAATCACTTTTGTCGTTTATAAGTAGCTAGTTGAAATGTCTCATTTACCCTCTCTGTCTGACATTAGCCTGTCTCTCAGCTTAGCTGTTTGAGGGTTCAGACTTTGTTTCAAGGTAGGTGTTTTTGTTGTTACTCTTGTTGAGCATTCTTTATGCAAAATTCTGCACTCAGGTCTTCCAGGTTTTTTAGTAAGAAGACTACATAGGATACACCTGAATCACTGGACCTCTGGTCGTTGCATTTAATCTTATTCATTTCCATTGTAGTAGTTACTTAAAGTCTCCTAGTTTTGCTTTGATATCAGTCATATGTTTCTTTGAATTCTTAATATTCATTGTTTTCCAGCCCAAGTGCTTGCTTTCCTATACCTTAGTTTGTTCAGGCATTTGGCAGTAAGTGCGTAGGTCAAGTTGCCATTTACTTTTATGTGGCCCTGGATTTAGAACTCAGTTGTATTATAAAAGTTAAGTGGTTCACCCCCCCCCCCCCAGCCTAGGTCAGAGCACACCCATACGGATGAGGGGCCAAGTAAGGATTTGCCCTTTAGAGTCATGACTGCATCCACCTTTTACCACACATCAAGGTCCCTTGTCTCCCTTTGCTCGATTGTAGATTTTTCACTTCTACAAGAGGTGCTGCTTTAAATGTTTGTTTTATGGGATGTTTTTGTTTTCTCACATGGACCCAGAGACTCGATGTTGGAATTTTTGGGCTAAAGGGAAAATATGCTACATGATATTAGAGAAAACCACATATTGACTACTCTTAATTGTCATATTGTATGACTGGATGAACTTCAGCATCATTAAACATAGGGCACAGTTTGTATTGTCATTTATCCAGATCCCTTTTCATTTGTCACATATTCAGATTATGTGAATATATGTGTACAAGGACTTCATGGAGACTCTGTATGTTAGGATTCTTACATAGCTGTATGTCCTTATATGTGTGTGTATATATAGATGTATAGATGTGATTGAAGATGAATGTTTTGTCCCTCAATTTGTACAGTGGAATATATTGAACCTTTTTATTGTGGAGTGTTTATTCTTCTTTTGCAGTCACAATTTGGTATTTCAAGATATAAGTAGACTAATAAACTATGATTCTCTGTAAACCTATATTCCAAATTAGTTTATCCATTCTGTGACTGTGGTTTCATTGTATTGTGTGATTGGAGGGATGTGAATTATGTTACTTCCCAAAGTTAAATTTGAGTCCTAAGATGCCACAAATAATAATTTAAGTAAAGTAATTTGCTACCTTTGACTTTCAGAGCATTATTTTCCCAAGCAAAATTCACTGGCATTCAACAGTTCTGATTCTTTAAAAAAAAAAAAAAAGGCATTTTCAAACTTGAAGAAGGAAGGAAGAAATCACACAAGCAAATAATCAAAGGAGAGATGTCCAAAAGATTACATTAGATGTTTTTAGAGAGATAACCTTTGGATATCATTGATGTAAATACTGTACAATTAAATGTCCATGGGGATTTTGACTTTTTTGTTTCTGTCTTTTTCCAACAATTGAATGTAGGTATGAAGCCTATTCATGCTGTAGACAAACAGCTACTTATTGTGGCAAATGCCCATATGCATTGGGATCCAGAATATTCTGATGTGAAACTCATTCAAACCATGATGTTTGTCTCAGAAGTAAAAAACATCCTGGAGAAAGCCTCTAGTAGGCCTGGTAGCCCGTCTACAGATCCTAATTCCATCCCGCTGGTGCTATGTGCGGATCTTAACTCATTGCCAGATTCAGGTATCTAAGAAATGCCTTACCTTTGCTTTAAATGTTGCCTTTATTTTCAGTTGAAAGATAGGTATAAGTGTCTATATCTGGGGAGAGAGTTTCATCTTCCAGATCACTTGGCTCTCTGGAATAATAACTTTGTGTGCTTTCAAATCAGAGTGCTATTTAATAAGAAAATTTTGTACTAAAGTAATAAAAATTTTCTGTTTATCTTCAGTAAAGTAATTTAGAAACCTTTAAACAATGTGACTACATCCTTTGGATATAGCAATTATTTTTAAAAATTTATATTAAGAATTAAAATTTAAATGTAAAACTTTTAAACCTGAGTGTTTCCTTAACAGTATAATTGAAATTTATGCCTAATATCACTGTGTTTATATCAATACTTTGACAAAAAAGTAGTACTCAACAATAAATAGCAAAGTCACCCAATTATCTGTTATTGTGTATTTTTTGTATGTTAGAGCCAAATACTGTACCACCTCCCTTATACCTCAGCAGGAGGATGTCTTAAAAAAACTTTTATTTAATAATTTATTTTTCCCACATTACATGTAAAAATAGCTTTTAACATTTGTTTCTTTATACTTTGAGTTCTAAGAAACTTAGTTTTTGACAAGCTCCCAAATTCTTTCACTGCCCCTCGCCCCTGCATTGTGAAGGTAAGCAGTTTAACACAGGTTTTATGCGTGCAGCCACATAAAACATTTTAATATTAGTCATATTGTGAAACAAAACATAGACCCCAAAAAAAGCCCTCAAGAAAAGTAAGGTAAAAAAAAAAAGCATGCTGGAATCTGCATCCAGACTTTATCAGTTCTTTCCCTGGAGATGGATAGTGTTTTTCATCGTAAATCCTTAGGCATTGTCTTAGATCGTTGTATTGCTAAAAGTAGCTAAGTCATTTATAGTTGATTGTTGTGCGATACTGCTGTTACAGTGTGCACTGTTCTCCTGGTTCTGTTCAGTTTCCTTTGTATCAGTTCATGTCTTTCCAGGCTTTTCTGAGAACATCCTGCTCATCATTTCTTATAGCAGAATAGTATTCCATCACAATCATAGATCACGACTTGTTCAGCATTCCCTAGTTGATGGACATCCCCTCAGTTTCCAATTCTTTGCCACTACTTAAAAAACTGCTATAAATATATTTGTACATATAGGTCCTTTTCCTTTTTTTTTTTCAATCTCTTTGGAATACAGACCTGGTAGTGATATTGCTACGTCAAAAGGCTGTGTGTATTTTTATAGCCCTTTGCACATAATTTCAAATTGTTCTCCAGAGTGGTTGAATTAGTTCACAACTCCACCATCAGTGCATTAGCCTTTAATTTCTCCACATTCCCTCCCAACATTTCAGTAGGAGAAAGTATCAACCATTTGTAACAGCCTGTTTCCAGGGATGTGGATTCTATATCAGATTAAAAAAAAGTTATCTATTTCCCCTAGTTTTTGATTTTGATGAGACTGTTCATTTGTTGAATCACTGTAAAAATTTAAAATAAAGTCTTTGATTCCAGTCAGATTCTCCTGCTACTATTTAAAGTTCATTTATTTCCCCCATATTTGGCTTTTTGTGAATATTAAGTCAGCCCATAGTTTTTGAGGGGAATGTTCTATTTAATTTGTAGTTTCCTAAATAGGCCTGGTCTGTACAGTTGCCCCCGTCCTGGATGATACAACAGATGTTGCCAGCTAACCCAAGGGATACAATGAAGGCTGGCTTCTTCCTTGCTGTAGAGTATTTTCAATAGATGCTTTTTGGTTGTGTTCTGTAGTTTATGTTTTACTTCCACAGGTGTTCAGTGATAGAATTTCAAGCTAATAGAATATTTCATTCTCTAACGAGGTCATTTCTGGCAAAACTCTGAAAACCCTGGGATGGACGCTCCATGGAACATCATTTTGTTAGTGTAGTTGTGGAACCACTCCCAGCCTGGAGAACCGTTAGAAACTGGGGAAGTTCTCAGACTGCCCTGGGTGTGCTCTGAAATAAGACTCCCCCCCCCCCCCCCGTCCGTAGGTTGACCAAAACCACTCTGAACCAAGTGTGTTCATCTTGCTTTACTCTGAGACCTGGCTATGAGATAGGCAGTCGTTTGTAAAAGGACCAAACATGAGAAATCGCAGCCCTCTTTGTTCCTTCCCTGCACCAGGTGTCGTGGAATACCTTAGCAGTGGAGGAGTGGCCGACAACCATAAGGATTTTAAGGAATTGCGCTATAATGAGTGTCTCATGAACTTCAGCTGCAGTGGGAAAAATGGTACCTCGGAAGGAAGAATCACGCATGGCTTCCAGCTCCAGAGCGCCTATGAAAATAACTTGATGCCTTACACAAATTATACCTTTGACTTCAAAGTGAGTGACAGCTTTGGGGTTGGCATGCAAATTTTTTATTGCAGCAATAAGTGTGTGTCCTGAAAGACAAGACTTTGCATCTTAAAACTTAATTTGGTACTGTGTTTGGGCAGATTGATTGCATGTGATAAACTTCGGGAAATTAACCATCTTTATAACTCTAGCCAGGGATGTAGCTAAAATTGCAAGGGATGGCTTTAACAGTATTTTGAAGCTTTCTTCTGAACTTTCAGTTGGCTCAGATTTAAAATGACCCCAACCCCAGTGGGACAATGGAAACCTCCAATTTGAGGAACGAGTGGCTCAGCAATATTACCTTGACGTAGCCTCAGGAGTGCCTAGATATGACCCTTTTCCCACTTAGCTGTTCTGTGTCCTCATGGAATTTGGGAACCCACAATTCCCTAGCTCCCCGACTTTTTTTCCAGATTTGCTTAAATGAGAGGGACAACAAACATTTAATGAAGCTAGACTGGACTCAACTGCTTTTACATAGTTTCTCTTTCCTTGAAATGTCAGATTTTTACTTTCTGATTATTTTTAATGAAACAAGAGTGATGGCAGATTATTTCAGATGTAATTTTTAGAGTGTATTCATTTAGGAGGGACCAACAAATGCTTATTTCCTCTAGACATGGAAGAGATCATAGCACAGATACTATTCTTGAATAATGAGCTTTCTATGATCTTTTGTCATACATACATTGTTTTTTATCCTCTCCAATCCTGAAGTCCTCCTTGCCAGCACACTCCTAACTTCCAAGAGAAACTTAGAGGAGAATTTCATTCTGTCCATGGTTCTCATTAAACCTGTAGAAGGCCTACTAGCAAAGCCCTAATCTGGTAGTAATGGGTTAAAAATAAAATGTAGGAAGAGTTAAGATACAGTCCAGCATAGCAGTGTTGGAAAGTAGGAAAATGATTTTTGAATTGGGTCATGTAGTGGTCTTTTTCTTCATGTCTGCTTTTTAGCTGTTTTATTATTTACTATTCATTCTCCCATGTTCAAAAAGATTTCAAGTTCAAATCTTTTCCTTTTAATAAGTTCCTTTTAACTTTGTAATCCCCCATGTTAAGAGATTTTCTGTGAAAGGGGTGCATTACAGTGCTGTTGATCACAAAGACAGATTTTGACCCATGGTTTAATTGAATAAATTAAAGAAAGAGTTTTTAATGACTTTGTATTAGGATAAAGTTGGGCATTTTTTTGTATCTGTTCTTTTTGGAGGAATTGTGAATGTCATTCATTGAAAGCTGTTCATTATTTTCAGATTATGCAAAATGTACTTTACTGGTCTGAAACCAGCCAATTAAGAAGCAAATGAAGCTAATACAGACAAAACAAGATTCTGTATTCCTCCGATGAGATTTTTGTGTGTGTGTGTGTGTGTGTGTGTGTGTTTTGTCCCCTTTCTTAGATTTTAGAAAATCCTTACTTCCTATAGGTATCACCTCCCTCCCTAAAACATCTACTTGTTAATTGAGGTAAATTGAGGGGGTAAAATAGATAGGAAAGCTTATAACATTAGCAACTCAAATGTATTAATAGATTGATAGTATAATTCTCTCTTCCCGTTCAGTAGCTTTAGCAGCTGTTGTAGAATGAGATGACGGTGATAAGGGGATGCTGAAGGTGTAATGCGTTCTACATAATGTTGCATTTGATTTCAGGTTTAAGCAAGTTCATTTGTTTTGGGGGGTGGCACTCTTTTAAACATCTCTTAATAATTTGTCTCAAAATTGAACATCTAAGTGAAGGAAAAGTATTGCCTGTGTTGAAATTTCCCTTTGGATTCAGATCCCTATTTTGAAGCAGACTTCGATATTGAGATCTAGAAAGAGCACTCTAACCACCAGACAGTCTAGTCCATGCTCTTCTCACCTTATTTTAGACAGAGGAAACATGGGTTTTGTATTTTACAAGACTTTGTGTTAGAGACAAACTGAATCCCAGGTTGTTGAGCTAACTTAGGATCCCACAGGTCATCTGATTCCAAACCTGGTGCCCTTTTATCTGTTCTCTGATGGGGTCCTGCAAAGTAGTAAGTAGGAGGGCCTGGGGTTCAAGTTCCCCATCTCTTCTACTCAGGAGCAGCTAGGTTGTGCAGTGGGTAGAGCACTGAGCCAAGAGTCAAGAAGACTTATCTTCCTGAGTTCAAATCTGGCTCAGACGCTTGGTAGCCGTGTGACCCTGGGCAAGTCACTTCACCCTGTTTGCCCTAGTTTTCTCATCTGTAAGCTGGAGAAGGAAATGGCAAACCACTCCAGTATCTCTGCCAAGAAAATCCCAAATGGGATCATGAAGAGTTGGACACGACTGAAAATGAATGAAGAAATCAAAATAGGGTGCTTTTTTTTTTTTTTTTACAAAGACAGCCACCCACCCTGTTTTAGGCTAGTTCTTCATCCAAGTCTCGTAACCACCAACTTATGTTTATTTTCACACGTCCCATATGTACAGGCTTCTCAGCACTCAGTGAACACCTCCAGCATGATGTATGTGTCTTAGAGCACAGTCTGATAGCCAGCCTCAGTCATGTGCCTAGTTCTACACCCACTTGCCATGTCTGAATCAAGAGGTCCTACCCACATTGGGCTGACTTGTTTGGATCATTTTATTATCACGGACATTACAGCTGATCTCACAGATTTGATTTCCCCAAGCCAGTCTACAGTATCTGACCCAGGTTTGAGGAGATCTGAAGAGGTGCTCTACATAGAACATCATCTTAAGGAATTAAACCCACTACATAGCATTTGTTAGGCCTCATGTTTTTATTTCATTAATTCATATGTACATGCACACAAACTATTTCAAACCCACATATTTTCACAGTTGTCCTTTGCTGTGTTTTTAAACTGATTTGAAGCCGTTTGATAGATGACTTCAACTCTTCGCCATGTGGTAGAGTGGTGAGACCCTGGATCAGATGTCGGGATGAGGGTTAAGCCTCCCTCTGTGTGACGCTGGGCTAGATAGGTCCCTTCAGGTCTAAATCTGTGATCCAGTTTACTTTTTTTAGAATTGGAAATTATACAAATTTTATAGATAGCCTGCTCCTTTTTTGTTAATTTTTTAAAAAACAAACGTACTAGTTTCTCCAGCCGGGCTTGGCAGGTGTAGATGTACTCAGCTTATTTCTATATACCCCGTTTCTGAAGATGTTTGGTCAAGGTGTAAAGCTTTGTAGTTATAAAAATTTGGTGTTACTCTGCAAAAATCACGGCTCCACAAATGTTTGCCATAGGTCCCATTGGAAAATTAGAAATGTTTTTAAGCTCCTGTTCTAAACAGCAGATGCCATAAATTTAATTTATTAATAGACTTTTAAGAATTGTGTGGTATTTTTGTTTGTATCTCACATCGTTTTTAAAGCCTGTTTTAATCTCCCCCCCATTCCTCCTTCCCCCGATCCCGTCTCTTTACAGGGTGTGATTGACTACATTTTCTATTCCAAGACTCATATGAACGTGCTTGGTGTCCTGGGGCCTTTGGATCCTCAGTGGCTGGTTGAGAACAACATCACTGGGTGTCCACACCCGCACATCCCTTCAGACCACTTCTCACTGTTAACGCAACTTGAACTCCACCCTCCACTCCTGCCTCTTGTCAATGGTGTTCACTTGCCCAGTAGGAGGTAGTGGAGTCCAGCCCCGCCAAGATGGGACGGGGATCTGTCGCTATGGACCTGTACAGTTGTAAATCAAAGTTATGTAGGAGTGAAGTATGGCCGTCGTTCAGCTGCTTCTTCAGGCTCCTTTCGTTATGTGTTTGCTATAAGATTTTGCACATTTTGGTGCATATTGGTATCATTTGGCACTAGGGCTGGAACCAAAGTATTGCTCCCTTTCTGTGTTTTTAATTTAGTGTGTTTTAAATATTGGGCCTGTTTCTTATTCAAAGAGTTAGCTTTGGTAGTGGAGAAATGATCCGTTGAAGGTCCAACAACATGTATTTATTGTTCCAAGACGCATTTTCTGCCTAATTATATAAAAATGAGCTATCCATCTTTTAAAATAAAATGTTTTCTTTTAATTACATTAAGTAAATTTGAAAATTGAACGGTTCATCTTGCAAGGAAATGCTTGTTCCCCTTTATACAAACTGGTTTGCCTCTCCAGATCACTCTGCACATTAGTAAATCATACATACATGAATACATCTGTGTGTGTGTGTGTGTGTGTGTGTGTGTGTGTACGTATCTATGTATATAACTGTAGATCTATACACACAAATACACGCTTTGAAAATAAAGCGCTTAATTAATGGTATAGTGTTTTGTTGGGCAAACATTGTTACATTTCGGGAAGAACACAAACAAGACCCAGACCCTCTTATTAGTTCTATGTTTGTAGGTCTTAGGTTATTGGTGAGATCTAGAAGAGCTGTCTCTCCCTTATTACTGGGAAAACAGTGGGAAATACACATTGCCACATAGCTTGAAAAGAAAATCTGATATATTTGAAGACGGTGTGCATACTTCCTATGGATGGCTATTTTTGTCGAGTCCCATCCAGTTTATTCTTACATGCTTTGCTACATAGTAGACCTTGAATAACAGAAGTGTTGCCAATTGACCTATAGGTCATCTCCCTGACGTAGCCAGAAACCCCAGGCTCCAGAGGACAAAGATAGAGTCACAGGAATGTGAGGCGTGTCCCAGGGTGTGTATAGAATGATGAAGTAGCTGCCAGGTGACCTCTTGGGGAGATTTACAGCAGGGAGTAGCTCAGTACCATTCCTTGGATTATTTTTCCTGACCCTAGCTGCCAAATAGCCATCATATGCTTTTACTCCTTGTTTCTGTTCTCTGTCAGGGTTGAATTAAGAAGCTGCTGGTTCATTCCTGACGGTTGACGCTCTTTAAATGTGTTATTTTATGCCCAGGTGGGGCCAGTGCAAAAAACCTGTGCCTCCAGAGGCAGTAAACATATTGCAATTTTCGGGGGGGGGGGGATTAGTTGGCTGCTTGATGTTAATTATGGCACAGTAATAGGGAAAGGTTGTGTCTGTGTTTTTAAGTTTTTCTTTATTCTGCTTTTTTGCTGCTATAAGAGTTTCCTGAAATTTATATTTTAGACTTTTCATGCACTTTACTGTTTCTAGTCTCAAAATGTGATATTTTTATTAAACAAAAATTTTCCATTATGTGAGTGAAACTTTAAAATAGCCTATATTTGTCCCTCCATAAAAAACATGCAGGTCAAAATTTAAATTAATTAGTTTTAAATATATACAATTTGTTTCTTCCAGATCTGAACTTAGGCTGTTTTATTAGTCTTGAAATGATGCATTTCCTTTGTTTTATAGTAATTTCATCCATAGTAAATTAATCAGGCTACATAAAATATTATTCCCTGGTTGGTTTATTTTTGTGGGAGGAGGATTGGTGGGATTGTGAGATGTCAATTGTGGGATTGCATTGGATGGTTTTACTGAAGTCTAAACTCCCTTTCAAAAGTGCCTAGTGTTAGAGGCGTGGTCTGTCACCTATTGAAATTGGACATCGTTGTAGTTGAGTGAAGTTTGATGTAAATAAAACATTATTTTAAAATGTTACAGCACCAAAAAAAACCCCCCTTAAGATAACAGATTTTCCAGGTGTCCCTTCTTATATACCTCAAGCATTCAACATCTTAGCCATGCAAGTAATTTGAGAGTAACTAAAGTATAGTACTGGAAAGTAGAATAGCATGAAAAACTTAAATTTTGTGGACATTGCCTTTTTGAATCAGCTCCTGTATCTTGTACTTTGTTTTGGGTGGCTTTTCTGCTCTGGAGGTATGCACTAACAAAATGTTTTCCTCCTTTCATATACGCATGTTAATTAGCAGTGTGAGCAATATTTCCTACCATACTTCACTCCCAATATTTTTGAGATGTTTGTATAAAATGGAATTTATCGTTCACCTATGATTGTATATGAACCACAGAGGAGCCCATTTATTAATAATAAACTTTTTTAATAGTTAAATGTTATGGGGAAAATAATAAAAAAAAACTGGGAAACATTGTAAACAGCTTAAGTTTATTTTGTGTATGACTGAGGCACTCTGTTGCAGGAAGGTGTGTAATTGGGTTCTCTCTGCTTCCAAATGCACTCATTCAAACCATTCATTATCCTGTGTAATTTTTAACATGGTTTGAGTAGATGTGTAGCAACTCATGTTGAAATGGGTAAATTGTGTTCTGTTTCTGGTGGCACACATGCCCTTGGGACCTGGTATCTCAGGCTTCATGTGTATGGTTCCCCTTTAGCCCACGAACCCTTTGTCCTAATAAGTTCCCTTTGTAAAAGGAGTAGTATCTGTTTTGAGCTACCTGTTCAGGTGATCAGAAATGCTGCTGTCCTCAGTGTTGTCTTACGGAAATAAAATGTAGGCCCTTTGGATCTTTGACGGTACCTAGTGTAGAAGAGAATGACCAAACGTGTATATTCTCTAGAAACAAAATATACACTCATGCTTTCCAGTTTTTGGAATAAATGAGCTTTATGCCATGGAGCTACATATCTTCTGAAGAGACGAAAAATTGGGGCATTTTTAGTTTGTGATTTATGCTTTTTTAAGTTGTCGGATGTGATTTCAAAGTATCTCTAATAGAACAGTGTTTTTTTAAACGATTTAAAGCAGTGTTTGGGAGAGGGAAAGTTGTACCGTTTGCCATCATCGGTCATTCCATGTAGCATGTAGCATCACCTAACCTATTGGGCCTTACTGCCCATCTCATAGCTTTACTCCTTGTAATGGGGAATATCGCAGCATCCTCAGGACTGACATCTGAAAAAGGCTCAAGGCCTTATACTGCTCCTTGCTTGTTGACTTTGTTTTTAAAAAATGTGCCTGGTGTCAACTTACAAGCAACAGCACTGCCTGAAGCAAGCAGAGAAAAGAATCCCAACACCATTCTATGTAGGCAACTTTTTAAAGTTCAATATAGAAGATCTGTTAAAGATGTACAGTGTTTTATGTAAAAAGCAATTTTGTATGACGTCGCTCAATATTTTCATTTCATTATTTGGATGTAAGGAGGGTGAGCATTTGATATCACACATTGAAGTCAGGTATGGCACAATGCGTTCAGAGACCAGCTCCTTCACCCCCTCTACCCAATTTGCCTTGTTCTAAGCTTCTCTTTTTAAAATTCCTTTCACAAGCAGATATTTAATTTTACTAATAAGCATCCTTTGTAAATGTTTTAAAAGCCACTGGGTGTTTGTGTTTTAGTTTTCAGAAGTATATAGTTCTAGTTCTTGGCCCTAACTCCTGAAAATCTTACATTATAAAGAAACGGGGAAGGGAAGATGACGAAGGCTCATACCACTTGGTTCCGTAGTGGCTTTATTAAGTAGAGGACATGGAACGTAAAACTGGAAAGCTTATAAATATAATATTCCACTTAAAAATCTTGAAACTGTCATTTCCAAGGTTTCTGAAAACACTAATACGTCATATACTCTTTGAACAATCAGATAGCTGTGGAAGGGGGAATAGCATAGAAAATAATAGATGGAACAGTGTTAATTAAATGCATCGAAAGTGATGCTAATCAAGTCGTGCCTAACTGAAGGTCACCTTTTTGGGTTTTATTTTTAGAATAATTTACTGATATTTAGTGGTTTTATCTAAAGTCTGAACTACTGTAGCAGTTTTTCAGAATAGGTTAATGATTCACTAGCATAGTCACAGGAATCAGTCTTGACAGTTTCTGATGGCTTAAACATATGAATACTATTGGAACAAAGAACTTTCAAAATTATGTGAAAATGACCCTACTGAACGTTTACTTTCATAACAGATGCACGGTCTCACACTTGCCCGCTCTCCCTCTTTTTGTTTTTTATCACCTTTCTGATAATTGAAGATCTTTTTTCCAAAGATAAGTTGGAAACTTCTCAGATATCTGCATAATTTTATTCAGTTAATTGGTATGACTATCCCATATCTGCCTGAATACTAATATAAAGAAAAAACCTTAATTGGTGAGAAGCCTTATTGTTAGTTATTTAGAAAGTTCTAAAAACAGCATGATAAAGTGAAAGCATAGGTTTTGTTTGAAATTGATTTCTGTAGAGCTATAAGCATCTCGTTTTTAAAGTTAGAAATAATTAAATTGGTGCATCTTTAAATTGGTCCTGTCCTGAAACTGATCTGCTTTAAATGAATCTGTTCCAGAGGAATATTTTGCCTTTCAGTTGGCTTGATAATGCTCATACTAAGGATTCTTTTCTTGCCCCTCTTAACAATTTAATTGAGTTTTTAGAAATAAAACTGGGAGAGAGGGAGGGGAAAAGACCCCTTTTGGCCAGGCATGGCCGCAATGAAGAACAGTTCTTTTTCCCCTTGTTTATGCCAACATATTATATAGGAGTGAAGTATCTATTAAGTAGGTCTTTCAGGAGAGTAGTAAAAAATGGGAATACTGAAGAGTCAAGCTAGATGTAGGTGGTGGTTTCTTAAAATGCATTAGTATCCATTGTTGGTCTCAACATAAGACTTTAGTAAGCATGAGCATATAGAAATAGTCCTATCAGTAGCTGAACATTTCTGAGAGCAAAACAAGTTTCTTTTTCAGAATTAATTACTGAGACCATTTGTGCCTAGCAAATATTAGCAGCATACATAATGCAATACAAAAAGCATCTGGAATTGGAGGTGGAGGTTTTCATGAACAAATTTTAAGTCATCAGGTGGGAGTGGTTGGGGTATCAGTTTATATTTTAGGAGTCTTTAGCAATGGCAAAGTGTGCCAAGTGATATGATTCTTTGAGTTATATTGCGTGTAAACTTAACACAGTTGTTTAGAAGTCAGAATCTCTCCTGCTTCTAGTATTTCTTATTGCTGTTAAATAATTCCCAAGCTTTTAAATGATAACCTGCTTTGCATCTCTGTGTTTTCTTTCTAAAAAGTAAGAATCATGGTGGCCCTTTCTAAAAGTGACACTTGCTGCTTATTTTTTGCCTTTAAAATTTTTTTAGATTAATAGTGTGGGTTTTTATTTCTTTTCAGCAATTACTGTTGTTTTGTGCCATGTTTCCTTAATTTGTGATTTTCTGAATTTATAAGGTTGGCAGTGGTGATGTGTTAATAGCTTTGGCTTTGCTTCTTACTGGGCAGTCTTATTAGGTTCAGTGTGTGAAACAGTGTCTGATTTGTATTCACTGGAAACTTCACTATCCTTTCTCTTTGCTTTACTTGCTAAAAATATATTTCCTACCTGTGAAATCCCTAAGCAGCACTTTGCTAGCTGTGGGGTGGGGGGAGTGTCATGGTTTCAGCCCCTGTAGCCTTGTATCTGGACTCCTTCGTTACTGCACACTGGGACCCGAGATTGTTCAGTGTTGTGAGTGGCAAGTTCTTCAACACCAGCAGCACGGAGAAGTGCGCTATGGGCATTCGTACAGTTGTCCAAATGCAGGCTGTCTTAGATTTGTGTAGGGATCATTGGTAGATTTTTGAAAGCAGTGAATGTTTTGTTTTTTAAATTATTATTATTATTATTATTATTATTATTATTATTATTATTATTATTATTATTATTATTTTGTTTGTTTTTGGCATGAGTGTGTATTTTTCTTGCTGAAAAGGCCAGGCACTGGAAAAACATAACCATGAGTCAACTTTTTTCCTCCATTGTGATCTTTTCCAACTCTTATCCAAAAAAAGTGCCAACAGATTGTCCTCCTGAAACCAGCTGGCCTCTCCAAGTTCTGACCATTTGGTGTGAGGGGAAAGGGGACCTTTCTTTTTCATTGCCTAGCACTGAAGAATTCATGTTGTGCACAATTGAGTCATTTTTGTGGATTGTAAAGTGTTGTTACTATGAGTAGCTAATGGTTGGAAAGCCAAGCACAGAAGTTTAGAACTGAGTAAGGTTTTTCATTTGCTTTTAAAGTTTTCAAAGCACTTGCAGATTCTACTGACCTGGTACTCCTAAATAAGTTCTAAAGGATTTTAAAAGTTATGCTTTGACTTTTAGGGAAAAGAAGAGCCCCAATTTGTCATAAAATGTTCCAGTAATCTGTTTTAAATGTTAGCTTCTCTTTAAAGAAAAAAAGTGGAAATAAAGTTGAATGAAGTGCCGTGTAATTGTACCTTGCTAGTTTTCTCTGTTAAACAGAATGGTTCTGTAGGGTTATCATTTCAGTACTAGGTGTCATCTCTGGAGGAACGGTGTTTCTACTTTTTGGTTGAACACTCAGACTAAATCACCAGCTGCTTTAGTTTTCTATTTATTACATTTATCCAGTTGATGAGGTCTTGAAATTATCGACCACGCTGCTTAGACAAGGTAACTTTCACAGTGGACACTGTACAACATGTGCGTGCAAGAGGGCACGGTTGGGTGTTGGTATTTTTTTTTAATGTGAAAAATGACTAAAAGTAGTCCTGCCTTTTCAATCTTGTGGCAGCTCAGAAGGGAGGTGCTTATGAACCTTAACTACTATGTCATATGACAAAATACTTTTTTTTTTCCATTTTGGAGATTGGGTACTGCTCACACATGATGTATAGGGCTAAATATCTGCTTGTTTCCTCGCACCTGTGTGCTTTCCCCTTCTGTCCCTGCCCTCTCCTCACCCTGTAGGCAATAAATGGCCATTTTGCAACTGCACACTGTTGGTCTTCATTTTTTTTGCTTCTCTTTCTCTGTGTGGTTTCTGTTCCTGTACTTGCCGTGATCCAATCCAAGTGGAGCACTTTGGTAACTGCAGAACATCCAGGTATTGGAACACTGTCATGGTTAGAAATCCATTTATGAATGAATTCTGGGGCAGTGGAGAGGGAAGGGACTGCTCTGGGTGCTGGGGGATGGCCTCTCTGTTACATTAGGGTTGATGCTCCTTCATTTACTAGAAGGGCAAATCACATTGGTTATTCTTCAACGAGCGATGCCGATTAAGTAAAAGAAGCAGCTAGGTGCATGGCAGTAGATGAGGTGCTAGATTTGGAGGCTTGGAGACCTGGGGTGAAGTCCTGTCTCAAGTACTCACCAAATACATGCACCTCAGTAAGTCACTTCAGCCTCATAAAATGGACCTACTTGACAACTGAAAAAAAATGAAATCATTTGCATAAAGTCCTCTGCAAAATTAAGCTGCTCTGTTAGCTGTTTTTGTCAGTTGTCATAACAATTACTTTATTACTCAATGCTTTATTAACTTGATATGTGGTAGCAAAAATACAGATTACTAGATCATTCCTTGAAAAATCTCTGTATTTCAGGGAAAGAAATCAACCTTTGTTGTCACTCCCAACACAGACTGGAACAGACAAGTGAATGCCATTCTTCAAAATCAGTCTAGCATGACTTAATTTGGGGGCCCTTCACTATTACATGACTTCAGTTAATAGGCCCCTATATCTGTAGGAGTAGGCAGAGCGTCCCTCAGTCCTGCCATACAAAGAAAGGGCTGGTCTTCACAGCATCCCCCATTTGACTTTTGACACCCTGTATTACGATCCACAACAGCCAACTTCTATCACCGTGTTTGTGTGTCTTTTTTCAATGTGTTAATATACACCTAAATAACCCTGCCCCACTTTTGGCTGTGATTAAGAAAGCATGTCTTAGGCTGTGTTGGGCTTCCGTGAACGATATTAGGACCCCTTCCTGCACAGCCTTGGGAGGAAATAGGGGGTTACAGGCTGTGAAACCACCCGTGCTGCTGCCACTTTGGCTCAGTTGCCAGAAACAGCAGGAGTAGGCTTAGACAAGAGCCTTGGGCAGGTCCTGGTTGTGCCATCTTCTACTTGAACCCTATTATGTTTGTGGGGAGGGGGAGGTCATTACTGTTGAGGCAGTGCTTCTATGTAAGTTTAGGTCAAGCTCTTGCTTGTTAGACTTTTGGCTTAAACTCCCTAAAAGCTTACCCTGTAGAGATGTGAGCATTTAAAGGGGGAAATACTAGGACCTTGGAAGGGAGCAGCCGCAACCAAAATGGCTGGCCAATTTCTGTATGCTTTGACGACCTCAGGGTACACTTGGCAAACATCTTTTTCTCTTTTCTCTTTCCTGGTGGTGTCACCATTCAACGAAAACCTACACCTGCTAGTCTTCTGTACTTTTTTTTTCCTTTCTTTTTCGGCTAGGCAGTGGGGTTAAGTGACTTGCCCAGGGTCACACAGCTAGTGTTATGTGTACGAGGCTGGATTTGAACTCAGGTCTAACCAAATCCAGGGCTGGTGCTTTATCCACTGAGCCACCTAGCTGCCCCGTCTTCTGTACTTTTCGTTGTGCTTCCAGAGCCCTACCTTGCTTTTACTTTGGTCCCCATGATAGAATGGGAAGACCATTGGTTTCATCCGCCTGATGCTTGCTTTTATGTTTGACCATGTGTCTGCATCCCTGAGTATGAGGTCTCTTCTACTTCTAGGTCTTTGGTATGATTTCTTTTCACTGTTTTACCTCTCACTAACTCGCCTGATTGCTAAGAGGGTTAGCATGCTTCTTGCTCCCTGCTACCACTTCCTCAATAACTGTTCTACTTTGAGACTAACCTCTCTTTCATACAATGTAGATCTTTCACCTTTTGCCCTTTTTAAGGAGTTAAGAATCTGCCTGATCCACTAGTCCAAAGCCCTGTCTACTGTCTACTTAAGTATACATGTTGATGTCCCCTGAAATGTCCTGTTTTGTTTTGTTTTTTTAACCTTCACTTCCTTGGTCTTAACTCTCACCCTCTCCTCTCTGTATCTTGGATGTATCTAGTTATTTACATGTCTTTCCCAATAAATTGTGAGCTTCTTAAGGGTAGAGGCAGTTTTTAACTTTATATCTGCCATCCATAACAATACCTTGTATGTACACACATACACACATCACTTAAATGCTTCTTGACCGAAATAACTGGGACTGTGCCCACCTCTGTGGTTTTGAAATAGGAAATTCTTAACCATCTCCTCTCCTGTCCTCCCTAAAATCTTCAGTTTCTCTATCCCTTCCGTTGTCTCAGACTGTCCACTTAGTTCTTTATTTTCTTCATGGTCAACCCTGTAGTTACCAAGCGTTTGTTAAACCCCCATGATGTGCCAGGCACCAGGCTATCTGGTGAGGATACCATGGAAAAGCAATAGAAGTAGCAAAATTAGTTGAACAGGTTGACTATATACCTGCTACGCTTGTATCTTTGTGCTGCTGTTTGTGCCTTGACTGTCTTTAGCTCTCTCTGCCTTGCCCCTGTCTCTTCCCTTTCATTGTCCTGCACTGTTAAAACTGTTGGTTAAGAAGTAATTCCATATGCAGAATGGATTCTCAAAGAATTCATGTTACAGCCTTACTGCTGATGCAAGGCACAAGAACTCATATATTTGTTGACTTTCTATCTTCCCTCCTCAGCAGGTATTCCAGGCCTTCTCTTTCAATACCTCCTTTGGTCTTTTTCAGCAAATGTCCTTCCTTCCCACTTTATTGAAACTAAAGACCATTTGCCTTTATTTTCTTCCTTAATGCCCCTTGTTCTGAATCCATGTCAAAACCCATCTGTCTTCATTCTCTCCTTCTTTATTCCTGTTTCTGAGTAAGAGGTAACTCTACTTTTGGCTTCAGGCATCTCTAGGTACGTGACCCCTGAGGCTGTGTGTATATACACATGTGTGTGTATGTGTATATCTCTATATAATGTGTATGTGTTTATATAGATACGTGCCTAATTTATTTCTTTATCATCATTCTTAGTCATCTTTCTGGGCAATATCTTTGAATGTTCTTTAAGCATCTCAAACCCAACAAGGCCAAAACGTGGTTGACGAATCCCACTTTCTGCCTTCCCCTTCCATGCCCCCAACCTGCCATTTCTGCAAACTTCTCTTTTCTCTTAAAGGCACCACTACCCTCCTAGTCACTGGGACTTCTTTCCTTGAAGTTTCTTCCATCACTACCCATATTTTTTATTTTGTTTTAATTATATTTATTTTTAATGAAAATCTGCTTCTTTCCCATCCCTCTCCACGCCCTTTGAGAAATAGAGGATAGCAAAGCCCCCTTTATAAAAATGTGTAGTCAGGCAAACTAAATTGACCTCTTTGATCATGTTGGGAGATTACATTTCTGACATCTTGTCAGCAGGTAGGTATAATGTTTCCTCATTAATCCTGGATTCATTGGCCATTTTTATTGATCAGCCTTCCTAAAGCTTCCAAAATTATTGTCTGTACAGTATTGTTATTATAGAAGTTATCTTCCCAGGTCTGCCCGCAGTAGCCCATGCAAGTGTTAGTAGGTTTCTCTGAAAACGTCCTCTTCATTCATTCTTACAATTGAACAATATTCTGTCACATCCTAACACCATAATTTGTTCTGACTTTTCCCAGTTGATGGGCATCTCAATTTCCAAATATCTCCCACCTCAAAAAGAGGTACTATACTTATATATATATCCTTAGAATTTTGTTTTTATTTTTAACTGAGGAATAATCTGCCCTTAATCCACCCACTTTCTTGTTCCCTCTTTTTTCTCATCTTCCCTTGTTAAGTGAAAGGTATTTTTGTAACCAACTTTGTTTACTCCGTTAGATGAGAGTGACATCGTGTTGCACGCTTTCCCCACACTTTTTTGTTTAGAATTCTAACTCCGTAGAATAATTTTCCCCATCCTACCTTCCCTCCCCCTTTTTCTTTTCACCTCCCTTTTCATTCTTTTAAGATCATCAAAGTAGGGAATGGCTTTGATGCCCACTGTCTAATTAGACTGTGCTGATGAGATAGGGTCCTGAGGACATACATCATTTCTCCATATCAGAAATATAGAAAGATAAGTCGGTGATGATAATTAGTTTTTCATTTTTAACAGGTTTTTATTGATGTCTTCTGTTTCTTGTATCATCATCGGTATGCTTCCTTGTCCCAGAAAGCTGCATCCCATATAACAAAACAGTACTTTTTAAAGAGGGGGAAGATAAACACAGCTGATCAATACATTGAAAAAGTCTGAGAACGAGCCATGTGTAATACCTGTTGGCCTTCCACCTCTGACGGGATTGGTTAGGGGTGGCTTCTCGTGCTTCTTTTGAGTCCTGCATAGTCTTTATAATTTTGTTACATTCCCTTTGAAGTTTTTTGGTGTGTAATTGTGCTTTGTGTTTATTGATGTATTGGTTGTGCTTATTTCCCTCAGTTGGTTCAGGTAGCTCTCTCCATCTCAGTATCCATCACACACACACACACACACACACACACACACACACACGGTTAGAAATGACACAATTACAGCTTTTTACAATGGCAACTCAGTTCCTTTTTTTAGTTGCTTTTTTTTTAATTTATTTTTACCTTTCGACAATCAGTTCCATAAGCTTTTGAATTAAAAATTTTCCTCCCCGTGACTACGTGCAATCTGATGTAGGCTGTACATATATATTCCTATTAAACATATTTTCACATTAGTCATGTAAGGAAGAATTAGAACCAATAGGAGGAACCATAAGGAAGAAGAAACAACAGAAGGGAAAGAAAAGCAAATGGTATACTTCAGTCTACATTCAAACGCTAGTTCTTGCTCTGGGTGTGGATAGCATTTTCCATCATGAAACCTTTGGAGATATCTTAGATCCTTGCATTGCTGAGAAGACTAAGTCTATCAAAGTTAGTCATTGTACAACGTTGCTGTTATTGTG